CTCGGGAATGTGATTGCAGAGACAGATTGGGATCGGCTTGACGGCCGTCATACGCAGCCTTTGAGGTATTGGAACGACTCATATCTGTTTTGCGACCGCAGTAGGATACACACCTGCGACCACGGCCAGACGCAGGTGGGTTCTGGCGGATTTGCACCAATATCACCAGGGGCTGCTTAGGTTGAGGCGTGCAGCAGCAAAGCATTGAACACCCGGTGCCCTCCAGCCGTCAGAGATAATGCGTGGCGCTCGTGCTCTACGCCAATCGAGCTGTGAGCTTATAACCCGTAGACCTGTTGTCTCCCATGGCTAGGTTTTACGGGAAGAAGACCATCGACCACTTCTTAACCTCCGAAGAGGATGGAATAGGATACTGGCAGGGCGCCCCCATCTGACAGCACGGCTCGAGTTCTCAGCCAAAGCCTTCGATTAAATGTACACCCGAAAGGCAGCGGGTCTAGCACATGGTCAGTTCACTGACTTATGCGGATTGGTGTCCTGGATCTTAGCAGGGAGTAGGGCGAAACCCAACTCCCACCCAGAGGTTGCCACGAGGAGGAGTCCAGAACATGAGCCAATGGCGCAACAGTAGCAGCAGTGGGTAGATCATCTGTCAGGATCTAACCAATGTCAGCCTCAGCGCACTATAGCCTCTCCCGCTTATATATATATATCTGTAAAGAGCTGGGGTAATTATATCTGCACCAGCGGCCTTATGTAATTTCAACAGTCTGATCTCACGTCCTACTTCCGCGCGTGAGGGCAGATCTAGGGAGACGGCCCATGGAGAAGGGCACTCAATTCTCGAAAGAGAAAGCGAAAACTCAGATTGATGAAACTGCCTTGCAAAGTGTTCGGCCCAACGCTCACCGCAGTGGGTAATGAGTGTGTAGAAAAGCTGGCAGCTCAAAGGGGGCAAGGTTGGACACGAGAGCAGGTTAAAGCGGTGTTTGTTTTTGGCATCGGTAACATAGTAAAGCAACTCAGATCTAGATGAGTAACCGATGACTACTAGGGAGAGTAACAATGTTCGTGTGAAAGACGTAAGAGCGATTAAGTTTCTTAATCCGTGTAAAAAAATACATTACCAAAAAGCAAACGGAGCAGTGGACGAGTCAGATCATAAAGTCAATCAATGGATAATAGGGTGGTCGTGGAAAAGAAGAATAGCAGATGCGCTGGGAAGGTAAGATACTCCCGCAAATCATTGGAGGATGCTACCGGGCGATGTTCTTGCTTTTGCTGCCGCGCCGCCAGGACCCAGCTACATCTTTTTCAGCGCTAAAGTTATATCCAAGGAGCTTAGGCTTCTAGGCAACCACGCTTCTCTGGCTTGGATACTATTCGCTCCAAGGCATTTGGAGCAATGGGGACTCTGGCTCAGTTCCTTCAGCAGCACTTGAATCAAAACCACGTGGGAGCTAGGAATAATCACTCCAATCCACAAAGAACAAAGTGGGGCTGAATCGCCCAGCATCATTTATTCTGGTACAGTCTAGTCATAAAACCCATCGCTTCAGGTGCATTGGTGTCACGCTAGGAAAATCACAAGTATTGGTCTCGAACAGCACACATTGTCGACATCGATCTTGCACCACGAATTCCAGCTGGCCACCCAACTAGGCGAATAAAGCATGTTTTCTAACTGGTATAAAATCACTGCTCCTTGACATCCCAAAGGTCACGAGTTCGAGTCGCAGCCTTGCCATCTCCATGTGACGAGCCCAATATGCAAGAAACCAGCAGTGGAGCTAGGTGTTACGAAGGAGTAACACTAGACATATGTTTCAGATAGGTTCCAAGTGGCCGAAACGACCAAGGTCCCATCGAAGTTAATGGAGATTTCAATTCAGATTGTGTCGTAATTCAGTTACCCAACGAGTACTACAAAGTGGCTCGCATTTAATCAATATAGTTCCGAGAATACCAGTGGAAAACTAAATTAGGGTGGACAAGATCATCATCATCATACACGTTAGCTAGAGGTGGGGAACACCTCAGCTACTGTGCCGCAGGGTGGACAAAAACTGAAATTCGAATGATTGCGCACACCGATATGACTGTCAAGACCACTCATCGGCCGAGTCGACAACAACAATCAGATGATGCATAGCCAAGCCAAATGCTACGACTGGATAAATCAGATTATTTCACTCTACTAGATACATCTGCACACAGGCAGCAGTGTGTAAGTGGCAGCGAACCCACAACCATACCAACCAATCAAAATGTGCCAGCTGTAAGCACACCACTTGCCTCGGTATGAATGTTGAATTTTAGGAAGCATACCACCAAGGGAGCCACATGTCGGTCTCCAAAATTTCCCTATTCTTGTGTATGCACTGACCGGTAAAGTCGAAAAATTCAATGCGTTCTGCGACATCTGCGCATGAGACATCTGCAGTTTCTGATATAACTTGGGGAGATCAGCTCTCAATATCCATTTATAAGTGTGCCGTTCTGTCATCCCGACATAAGTGGAATGGCACACAACCAGAGCTCGTGGCGTGCATGGTACTGCTCCCTAGACGTGTTGCCTTAGTAAAACGTGTCTCTGAGTTATCATTGTCATCTGCTTGAATAGACCAACGAGTAGAGAAAGGCGAAAACAGGTTATCTCGTCGATCCGCGCTGCCTTCATAAGATAGCTAACTGTTTATGGTCACATAGGGCTCGCAAAATTTAAACATTCTGTTTCTGGAAAATTTTGAAGTCGGTTTAGGTTTAACATCCCTCCAAGATCCAACTGCCTATTATTCTTTATCAGTGGTGTCACCTCTCATAATACGTGTACTCATGGTAGCGCAGCATTAATGAAAACGGTAGAATCAATGAGGCTGAGGAGTAAATGGCCTATCGGCACGTGACTTGTGATGTTACAATCACTTTGTCGATCCTCCGACCCTTGTGTGATGAGAATCCGACCAATGCAGCTATTGTTCCACATTTAAATGCATTTGCGCACCTCACGCACCGCTTTGACGATGTAAAAACAATTGATTCCGTTTGGATGTTCTGTAATCAGTTGGGCTGAGCATTCAACGATTAAAACTAGTGGGTCGACTACTGCAATCACACAGATGCCTAACTAACGGTGGAATGATGATCAAATCCACCGCGTGATGGCATTGTATATCAACCCGAAAGCTGGGTCAATGCTGTTAAATTATGGTCAGGTGTGCCAATATCCGTAGCATTTTCAATCGACATTAGTCCATCGAACGCGCGTCCATGCCAACGAACTGCGATGTTGTACATCGGAATGCAGCGAAACATTGAAGTTGTCCGATTGTTTACTCATATGCAGTATTCAATACATCAGGTGACGTCGCTGCACCATTGCGCGACAGACTGGGGTTTCACCAACGTCCATTTGGTATACGTAGCATACGGCCCAAGCATACTGACAGTTTTCGAACAACCTAGATTCACTGGTTTAGAACCGATACCTAAGGACGCAGTGGCTGAAATGTCAATTAACAACGATCAAACTGATGAAATGACTGTCATAAAACAGAACAGGATTAAAAACAGTCTGCGTACATATGTGAAAACAATCCCAATAGAGAAATGGCGGCTACCAACGGCTCAGTTAAACAATACTCCAGCACCAATATGCGATGGCAGTAACTCACATCACCGTGGTAGTAATACCTACCCGATGTAGGGAAAGTAAAGATGACCACAAGAAATCTAATTGTGTTTGGGAAGTATTGGAATAATTTAATAGAGGGATGTGAGAGACAGAATCTAGTAGCGCATCTGAGCCTGTGACCTTGTGACTAGATCGAAACCAACCACTGAACAGTAAACACTCAAATTGAGCAAGTATATATGAAGTGGCCAAGCTAAGTGAGAATAAGATGAAGTAATTGAAAGGTAAGCGGCAGTAATGTCAAAAAGAAACCGATCAGCCTCCAGAAACAACGATAATTCACTACCAATGAGGCTGTCACATGATGCGTTAAAACAAATAAAAAAAGATGAATGCAAAAGAAAAGAAAGTTTGTAACTACAAATCGCAAAGCAGGTGGTCGAATACACAATTTCTAACATACACTTAAAAATAATAACGAACAGTAGTCTAAAATTTAGTCCTCCAACCCAAATTGGGTCTGTGCAATAAAGTGCATTGGTAACAGTCAGGAGTAGCCATACGCGACAACAAAATAAATTTATCTGTCAGGAAAAGTAGAACTGGAGTAAGGTTAGGTTGGCGTGTTCATGTAGGAGTAGAGTAGGAGCATGGAATTTTCCGTTCAAGTAGTCTCGATATCAACAGGGTTAGAATCCAGGGCACCAATACAAAAATCACAAAATTAATAGCATACTTTTATTCCTCCGAAGCAAAGGATTGCTTATTCATAAGTAGTGTCCGGACAAGTGTGTGACGGTGACCAGTAGTTAGGGTGAAAGAGCACAAGGCGGGACTAGTGAACAGCAAGTAAACCGAGTGATCATAATTGCATGGGTAAAGTGGACAACGCAGAAGTGAACAAGGCTGAAGGTGGCATCAAACAGGACAGGTATGAGTTGTATCGAGCGCTGTGAATTAGTGTATGCAGGGCCATGAAACCAAGCCAACGATAGTAGATGGACAACGAAAAAAAATGAAACACGGCTGTAAAAAAAGCGAATCAAATGTGTGTGTGTGTGTGTGTGTGTGTGTGCATAAATTACCCTACTGAAGAATTTTTGCTCGTTGCACAGATAGCGTTTTTACTATCGGAGGATTATGGATAAACAACACTGGGCTGACATCATAACAAATGGGACTGTCTCTTAGTGAGTTTCATTCAGGTACCAGCCCTGTGCACGTGAAACTAAGGCTTAAAAATAAAGGAGATTTTCAGTAAACCATAAGGAAACCCCGAAAAACCACGAAAGAGAATTCAAGCGGCCAAAATTTGGTACCATGACAACGATGGAAAACGAAATGAATAGCAGTCTAGCGCTCACGTTAATGCTAAAAGGACAAAAGATGTGCGTAAGGTACTAACCTTAAAGTTGAAGTTGTCCACAAACCACAGGCCACCCAAGTAATTACAAGCCATGTCAGTATCACCGTAGTAAACCAATACACGAATCTGAAAGGTAATCAAAAGAATTTGATGAGGTTAATCCTCTAGTAGAGTACATCGATTCAGTTAGGCAACCGTGACCGAGCGCCAATATGGACAAGACCCCAGTTTCCAGGAGAATAATAAATAACAATGTTGGGGAAATGGCGTAAGGTGCGTGAAAAAGTCAACATAGGGGGTTTATGAGAAAGGTAGGCATAGCCAATCCTGATCGAAATTAGCTGGACACAGGAGACCGAAAGTAGAAGCGTCTTCGACCAAGCAACTGCATCATACCAGATAAGGTCACAAGTCACCGATCTGGATAATATCAGGATCAGATAACGGAATATACTGTCTTCGTTAAACCTCTCAGTCAGTTGTTCGGGCTTTTTGGTAACGTCACCAACTGCTCATTACGCGGTTTCTCCCAACGAGATACAACGAGAACAAACGGTACACTGCAATAGGCGGTAACAAGGAATAAGCTGGAGACTTTAGCTTCTAGTGGGTAGATCAAAAAGTTGGGACATTAACGATACCTTAAATGCTTCAAAAATGGATTACACTTCACGTTAATGTTAATCAAAAAAGCTAAATTGTATAAATCCAGCCGATCAACGAAGGAAGAGTCAAATGAAATTGAGGGGCTTTAAAGTTAGCAATGCTGTAGACAGCGTTAGCCATTCATAATAGGTTGAATCCCCCTTGGGACACTGGTGCTTCCGCCTCCAGTGAAACAAACCGAAAGCACACTGTGTTTGGCTGTAAGTTCAGGCCATGCCTCCTCAAACGAGAACGGAACGCCTTCAAATAATTGGAGGGTCAATTTTGGACTACACGTTGTGTGATTGGATTGCGAAGCGCAATCTCAATGTGGACCGCGATTCACATTGAAGTGAACCTTGGTCATTGCGATCACTGGGACCGTAGTCAAAGCATATGAAAATTGGGTGTTGCTCGCCCGAAAACACTGCCTTCAAATAAGTTTTAATTTTCGCAGCAAATAAAACAAAAGCGTTTTTCTAAGAAGCAGGTGAGCCGGTTGATAGCGTGAAAATATATCGGAACAACCTGTACAAGTCGTGTGAAGAGATGTAGACAAAGTAGTGTAATATTCTCGAAAATAATACTACTGTATGAGACAAACAAGCAATGAAGTAGCTTGCAGCAAGTCAAGCAGCAAGTTTGCAAGCGCCAACAAGATACTAACAAGATACTAAGTGGGATACGGAAACACGCGTGACCTACGAAGAGTCTGTTATAATCGTCGCCACTTTTATTTTATCGTCATCGCTTGGTATGGTTCCCCGTGGGAACGAGAAACTCGGTACCTGGGGACTATGCGCTGTACGGAAGAGTATCTGATCAGATGCGAATTGACATGCCCAGTGAGACTTAGTCACCCAACGGTGTCTATCGTACCGTACTAAAAAAACACGGGCCCGAACCGATACCCGCTACCTAAAGAGAGAGAAAAGATAGTGACCTACGACAGAAGCGCCTATTACTACCTTGACCAACGGTGGCCTACGCGTTTTGTACAGTTTGGCATTTGTAACCCGGCTAATCTCGTTATCGGAAGATGGATCCATATTTGGTTTGCCTTTCACCAGCTCCTGTTGCCTGACTGCTAGCATTTATGATGACACCTCGAATGATGGTAAAATCACTGCAATCAAGTTGCTCAACTCAGCAAAACCAGAACAACGGATCACCGAGGGGATCATACAGTCGATGATGTGACAACAATGCCTTGTGGGAAAATATGGGAATACCTGCCATCTGATAAGGTTGTCATGTCCCACGGCAACTGTGAGGCGATGTTGGATGCCTAGGAGATGCGTCCGGTGCGAAGATTTTGTGGAACTATGAGGTCGCCACAACAAAGTGGACGGTCATAGTGGAGTATGAAATGCGTCGAGTGGTTCCTTGGTAAAGTACATTGTTTACATCAAGTATTACAAAGAGATCAAGAAAACAAAGTATGTGGTAGAATGGTTCAACCCAGCGCATTGGGTTAGACTGTGGAACGAACGAAGACAGTTGTCCTGTGTGTTAATTCGATTATGTAGTTGGTAACATAATTAATAGTACTAAATGATAGTTTCACATTTTCTGGATGCATCGGTAGCGCGTATTTATTCGGCTAAAGTGGTTATCCACCCAATAGGTAATAATGTCTATCGTTGCTCAGCTGGTACGGAATGGATCGTGGTATGCAGAGCTGTCAAAATTACGGACGGTATATGCACCGAGAACGGATGACAGAAAAACTAAAAAGATGTCCAACAGTTAACAATATTTTTGTTTCTATCGGACTAGGTGATATAGCGAAGCATTCCATCCAGAGATGGCGGAAATACACCACACTACTACAAGCAGGGGGATCCACCTGCATTACGCAGTCAAGTCTGCTGAAGTCAACTTATTAACGGGAAAGCAAGAACAAACATCTGGACTAGTGTTGACTAATTGAGACGCTGAACGAGATTACAAAGTGGCACACTTAAACGATGGATTATGCAAAATAAGGAAGTTTGGAAATTCATGTACCGACACGCTCGGTGGATAAATCCGAGTATAAAAGGGGACTACCAACTATTAGCCAACCAGATCCAAGATGAAAAACATCCAGTTGTCTTGAATAGTCGCAAAATAAGTGAAGTAGTATACGGACAAGTAGGAGATATCAGTCAAATAGCGCAAAAGCAACTTACCTTAGCATCCAATAGCAGTTGATAGTGGTCCGACATGTCCGTGTAAGTGCGGACGTAATTTGCGTAGACCTCTTCGCTACAAAGCGCCCACTTTGACATGGGTGGCAGAGTGACGTGAATAGCCTTCATCACGGCGGGGGAGTTAAGGTAATCGGTAATGACCGAATCATCGACGCAAGGAAGTATGAGATTTTTTGTTGGCCTCGTGAACCCAATCAACCTGATGGAAATAAGCGACAACAATATAAAGCGCAAGCAGCATATCTACACCAAGATAGCTCTATTAATACGGAAAATAGACGTAATGCGTACACAAACGAAAGCTGTAGAATGATGAATAATCAGAAAAAGATAAAATGCGATAGGTATTCGTGAGACCGGATTGTTGTAACGAATATGCATCGCGACTGCGAAGGGCGCTCTGTGCAGATTTAAAATTATAGTTCGTGATTAAAGAGGAAGTCACTGCGGTCTTATGGAACCTAACCTAATAAACTCGACTACAAACCAGCGTCATTGCTGTGCGTTCAGCATTTCAGAGCCGTAAGCTTGAAAGGGGTGAGCAGAGCCAGATACAATCTCCGCTCCAACAACAACAGTTAGCGCGGATCTAATAGATGGTGGGAGAGGTGAGGTCGACGTTGCAAAATAGCTAAGAGTACCCAATTAACAACGGTGACGTGATTAAGTGGCCGGATTTATCTAAGACGTGCTCGACCTACCGTTAGTAGCAAGTGGGAAAGAACACAGTAAACTAGGAAGGGACGACACGCACCGGGACAATACCTTCGAACACACACGCACACAATCATAATGACCCAAAGATGAAAAGCTTAGCGCATTCAAATAAGCAAGGAAGCGATTCAAAACCAGAAGCCAATAACACCAGCAGTATCAAGCTAAGAATTCTGCCGCACAACATACGTTAGCGAACTCAACGGCCGAAAATCACGCAAAACATAACGCACTGGCCGAAGAAGTCTAATTGGAAACAATAAAATGCACCGAAATCCCTTCCTGCAATAAGCTGTAAATAGCAGTAACCGTCCAGGCTAGGACATGATGCTACCATACGATGGCAAGGCATCAGCAGTACACCGATACGCAGTACCCACGCTTCGCTGTCGCGCAATTACCCCCGGTCGCACATGCGCTAAGGATATTGCGAAAGTCATCTTGTCCCTACACAGGCTTGAACCCGCGCCGTCAGATTGCGAGACAAGCTCGATACCATTAAGCTACGGGCCGAATGAGTCTTGGTAATCAAGTCAAAATAAGCTTTATCCATTCATATAGGCACATTTTCAGCATTTCGCAATAACATTGTGGAATCTAATAGAACATGGCAACAATGAAAATAAAAAAGGATAGCAGTAAAATGAAATAATCACATCTCCAACCTAGCATACGATTCAGCAAACAGCATTTCATACCTGATGGATCGGACAGGAAAGGTGAGATGAAGTTTCGATACGAAGAGTTATAAGAAGATAAAACAAACTTCGACCGTGTGGAAGAAGTAAATACAGTGCTGGCTAAGATAGTATGTAAGGAGTGCGAATGGCGGTTTAAAATCTTGGATGAAAAGTTGATGCATGCATGAAAATATTTGTTCACGACAAAAGCAATGGACGGTTTCTTCCTTACTCAAGAGCAACGAGAAATAAATTTCAGCGAACTGACAGGAAGCATATAACCTTTCTGAAGAAGTCGAGGAAAAATAAAAGGGGAAAAGTGTAATCGGTGAGGGAGAAAACATGCAGTTACAGGCCATAGGATAAAAGCATGGGGAACGGAAAACATTTTGAGCTCGAAGGCGTAAAAGGAGAGCCATCTAATTTGTACAACGTTTCAAGGATAGGTGTTGTTAAACATATGGGAAAACTCCCGATACTTTATAGTAAAGGAAGGAGGTATGCTTTGCTCATCTACAACCATGGGAGGGGGAGATATGTACAAGGTACCACAGTCTATTTGGATGTAGAAAACAGAACGTAACATTTGGAAGGGTTGAAAAAGAAATACCGAGAGTTCGACCGAGTCACTATAGCTTTTTCAGTCTATTTCATCCATAAAGCTTTCAAATTCCTCCCTAGGGAAATCATGTTCTAACACAGATCGCTCAAGATGGTCCATAAAGTTATCAAGTTGTATTCAACCGGCGTAAACGGTCCACAATGCTACTGTTCATTGGGTAACCAATCCCAAATCAGCCAATAGCATCACATTCATCCAACCCTGGTTGGAATTTCAAACCAGGATAACGTCAGCAGCCCATTTGCAGCCTATGAAATTCGACGTAATGGGGACACTTTCGACGTAAGGGGGAAATAATAAGGGGGATAAGATGGCTCTCTGTAAAACACCACAATTGACTGGTAGTGCGGAAAATTTCCGCCACATAGCTGCGCGAAGCGTGTGCGATTTATGAAGTAAGCACGCATCACACTACGTACATATGGGGACATCAGTTTTGGACAAAATATTGAGCAGTAATAATCTGTCGAGGGTCCCAAAAGCGTTGGTGTAATCGAGAAACAGGAGTCGCACGTCTTCGTACCCAATTATCCGACGCTAATGCAATGGAATGTAGCAAATAGGAAACAGCATCAAATGCAGAGTATCCTGAGTTATAGGCAAACAGTTTGATAACATCAGTATGATTGCTCGTGAAAATGCTGGGGTTCAGTAGTCTTTCTAGTGCTTTTATCAGTACGGACATGCACGCAATTGACCGACACTTTTGAGAGCCTATTTTAGGCACTGGTGTTATTCTGGTTGATTTCCAAATATGAGGTATGGTTAAAGTCGCTAAGCACCGGTTCAAGATCTGTCATTAAAACATCTGCACATTCATACGAAGTAACTTCTGAGAGAGCATCCGATGCAATAGCTTTGTTTGGCTTCGGTATCGTGAATACTTTGTAAACATTTGTGGAAGACTCAGTAGTGGTGAGGGAGAGCAGGAGTGTGCTAGGTGAACAGCTGAACTCAGCGCTGTTTGTCTACATCCGAAGGAATGCTTTTGGGGGAGTTGTAGTATAGAAGCCTAAATAAGTTAGGGCAACGGTGGTTGCCTAGAACCGTATGAATATACTGTGTCTGAGCTTCTTATTTCAGCTTTCACAGCCGCGGAGAGACGTTTAAGACGTGTTGTTAGCCTGCTCTTTTTTTCCTCCGCAGTTGCTTGAGCAACGAAAAAGAAAATCTATCACTTCGCAAATAGACGGTCTCAATGGAGCAACACAGATCAATACAACAGCTCACACAGTCGGTGAGGTGCTCGCATTGAGCAGACAAGCCTTCGTCCGCAAAAGTTGAAAAATCAGTTCAACAAGGCGTTAAGTGGAGTTTTTGGATGTTATCTGATGAGCGGTGCCACCGTTTAACAGCTCTGAATGGTGTTATCCTTAGCCTAACGCAGCTGACCTTACTGTAAAAGTCAGGACATATCTTGACTATGTAGTTGTCTAAATTACCAAGGGGAGCATGCTTTTGTGTAGAGAACCGGTCGGGTTTGTTAGTGAAAACTAAATCTAGGTACGCATCGAGTGTGGTTGAAAATAACACCAAATTGCTTAAACACATAGTGTTAATAAAAGTTGTGTCGCTCTTATTGAAGTCGCCGGCGAGAACACAGGTAGAACATACTAACTTTGGTTGTAACTAGAAAGCAAGGTTATTTACAAAGTTTTGAAGCTCGAACAGAGCTGTGTCCGGAGCTACGTATATGTCGTATGTCTGCATAGTGGGAATGTGCATTGGTGATGGAGAAGGATGAATCACCCACAGTGACTGTCATGCATCCCCGTTGCTATGATCTTAATCAATGACTCGCGGATGAACAGTTGTGGGGTTCTGCTGAAGTTTCCTGAAAGGAAGAAACGACGATCTAGTGCAATTCCGGATTTACAGTGTCCATCTCACAGAATGTAACTGTGACAATAACCAAAAATCGTGATTAGTGGAGTCATTTTGAAGCATTCATCGTGGGAGAGGATTACGACGTGCAATCTCACTGTGGGCCTGCTTTTGCATTGAAGTGAACCTTAGTCAATACGATCACGTAATTGAAGCAAATGGATACTGGTTGTTGCCCACTCGAAGACACTGCACCTCCTGACTGACTTGTTTTATCTGCTCAAGTAGAGGTGCCGGCTGACATTTCAAAGGCCCCGGGTTACAGTGCCTGCTTTTTCCGCCTGGTGAGGTCAAACTAGTTGGAAACCGATCATGCCGCGAAGTGTTTCCGGGCAGGAAACACCCAATATACGCCCAATTCAAATTCATTCTGGCATTAATCACTTAGAGGGAAACATTTCAATCGATTACATAGGTTTGCCTGTAGAAGGTAACACCAAGTAGCACTTGCTACATTATCCTTCAATTCGTCCAACTTCCCGCCCCATCGTGCATACCAAGCTAGTATATTTGGCAGCCACAATGCCGTTTTCATTTAGTCTGAGTTGGCCGACCCATCTCTCTGGTGAGAACTTGCGAGAAAACATCCAATGCAGCCCAATTAAAGTTTGTCTTCTTGAGCAAGTCGTTATTTGTTCCTAGATTCAAGGACAAAGTGTCTGATCGACTTCAATCTATGATAACCCACCGGTTTATTTGTTACTATGGGTCTAGGTACGCTCGACGCACGACCAGGCACTTAGGTAAAAGAATCAAGGAACATTTGCTGAATGGGCTCAATAGCCAACACGACAGAACCAGAATAAGTGCCATAACCAATCATTTGATCAACATCACGCACCAGATTGATAAAAGGACCGCTTTTGAGATCACGCCAAAAATGCCATCTCAGCAGAACCATCATCTGAGAGCGTGATTACTTGCTACCGCAGAAGCGGTATACATAAGATTGACAGAACCATCTTTCTTTGTACCAAAGAACTACAGTGGGTTTATGAAAACATACGCACCGGTAGGTTAAGCAGTCGAAGCCCATCACCGAACTCGTTTCTGACCGGATCACAGATGCAGAGTGTAACTTTTCCAATCAGCAAGATTACACTCTGAATATCGGCGCACTGGCGATGCCACCTCGCATGGTGTTGAAACGTCGGCAAACAAATTTTTAAGCTCGGTGAACGAAGGAGCCACTGAACAGAACCAGCCTTCCGTCACGTAATCGTAAGATAGCGTTGAGTTCAAAACATAATGGTGCAACTGCATACGTTGGTTTGAATACCATGTACTGTTCATAATAGA